CCTCTACATTTTCCGGTATAACCCGTTTGGAAACGCTAGCTAGCAATTGAACATGTCGTTCCGTTCCTTGTATGTGTGATGGAATTTTTGGATCATTAAACGGTGGATCATCTTGATTTAAATATTCTTTCAATGTATCGTACGGAATGCTTCGCGTGAATGGTGGTTCAAATACGATATTTATATCATTCAAATTGATCATTTCCGTATAACTTGTGCAATTAAAGTTTATATCTGGTTTTTTATAAACTCTAAGTTCCATTGGCTCGTCAACATCGGTTCGATAGCGTAGAATTTTCTTGATGGCACAGATGCAATAAACACATATATATATATCTCGATTCCTAGACGTGACCCAGCGAAACGCCGGGACACGTATAACTTGTTTTTGACCGATATAACATTTCCCGTTGGTTTCATCCCATCCCGATTTTGACTGTCGCATAGTGTTATCGTTCTAAAATGTTCGTATTTATTACCACGCACTCGTGCATTTGAATGCACATTTAAATGTCTGGCTGTAGATGAGTGCGCAAAGATACTTGCCACAATTTCTTAATTTCCAGAGGGTCCAGGGTTCAAATCCCATTACAGGCAGCATGAAATTTAAATATATATTTTTTAACTTAATTATGAAAAAGCTTCCGTTTGAATTTAATATTTCTAGACTGAATAATAAAATGTGTATACTTAAATGTATTAGAAGTTGGGTTGGTGCTCTTTCATATGCGTATTTTTTTAAATTTAGCACGTTTTTTAATTCTAAACTTCTTTCTCTCAGTGCACCGGTTTCATTTGTGAAATAGTTACATCTTCAGATAGTTGAACTTTGCACAAGCAATAGTTGATGATTACTATACATATGGGTGTTTCCATGAAAAGGGTTTTTAAGACGAATTAATAAGAGAAAAATACTCGAATTTTTTTATATTATAGAAGTATTTCAGCTTATTGGAAATTTAAAACTCAAAAATGGAAGAGTAAAACTGAATGTCTCTTCGACTCAGTTTTCTCTAATGAAATGAACTATTTTCTCTTTCCTATTAGCTAAATTAAGAGATTTGAAACATTACAATTACATCTTAAAATCAAATTTGCAATAACAATTAACTATAAAAATGAGAAAAAGGAGAAGTTAGAGCTCGTATAACGGTAATTTTTTGATTTGCTTCAGATAGTATTCTAATATCCCGTACGTTATGCAAAAACATTGTTTGTCTATGTCATTTGTATATTGGCAGTCGCAGGTAATGCAGATTACAATTCTTAAGCGAGAATTCTTCTAGTTAAAGATATACAGTAAAATTTTCTTTCCAACCGAAGTAAAAATATATTTTATTACCCTTTAAAGTTTGTCGCATACGTTATTGTAAGTACGAAAATTTCAATCAAATACATCAAAACCAATGTTAATTGCAAATTTTCCATTTAAATTATTTAGAATAGTTGTAAAACAATGAAACGGTGGCGAGAAGAGTTCTCAATAAATACGTTTTATTACTTACGAGAAAAATTGTCGCGTACGTTATGTCGCGTACGTTATTTTTATTTTTTTTTAATATAAAACTAGCCAGAGATAATTTCTCTTAAAATATGAAAGGATTGTAAAGGTACATTATTTAGCTTAGTTTAGGAATTTCTAAAGAAAAGAAAAACTCTCGTGATTCGCAGACTTTCGCATATATTCGTGTTTCCATGAAAGTGTAAACCGAAAATGCCAGCAAATGAATTCAAACGGCTTTATAACTTTAAATTTCGTATTCAGATGGCGGAAAAAGGTTTTGAAAACGCGAAACGGTGGAGAGAAGAACTGCAAAAATTTAATTTAGTATGTGTTACTAGTAAAAATATTGTATGGGGGAAAAATCTGTCGCGTACGTTATGTCGCGTACGTTATTATAATTTTTTTTTTAATAAAAGCTAACCAGAGATAATTTCTATCAAAAAATGGAAGGATTGTAAAGGTACATTATTTAGCTTAGTTTAGGAATTTTTAAAGAAAAGAAAAACTCTCATGATTCGCAGACTTTCGCATATATGTATATGTGCCTTAAAACCACTTCTTTTTTTGTCGCGTACGTTATCACCTGGTTTTGAGCGGATATTTTCCACACCAAAGTTTCGAGGCTACTTATTTTTTTCTCAAACATAGTACCTTTTGGTTGCAACATAACCGCAATCTTTTTTTTTCTGTAACTTCTATTTTTGATAGATTTACGTTACTCTATAAGCGTACGAATGTCGCGTGCGGCTGTATGGAAACACCCATATGTAACTAAATACGTTAAAACTGACGTGCACAGAGTTTTACAATTATATTAAGGAAAAGTCAGAAGTTTTGAAACAAGTCCACAGCAACGAAAAATTTGCCTGATATTTTAATGTTATCTTGTACTCAAATTTTTTTTCTTTCATGAAACCTAGAGTGCTTATAAGTACAGTGCGGTACAAAATTATTGGCTCGGAGACTCTTCATCAAATCACAATTTCTAATCAGATCTGTTAAAAAAATGTTGAAAATATACCTTTTGTACTAATTAATAAAGTGCAAGTCTGAAGTTGCCAGCAAATTTCGTTGAATTTTAGCCATTTTTTTGCTGACAGTGTCTTCCATATAAAAAGAATTGTCGAACATAGTTTGTATGGAAGAAACTCTCAGTAACAACAATACCAAAAATCAACTAAAACTTAATAGGCTGCAAAACTTAATTTTTAAAATATTTACAAAAACTCTAATTAAAAATTTGCAAATTTGTATGCAAATTTATTGAATATCTTGAGTTTTGCACAAAGTTTCGAAATTTTATTTTTATGTTTTTTGATGTATTTAGTACAATTTTTTTTATAAAGAATAAAAAAAATTGTGACCAATTCTCTGTGCTTTAGTCGTGATAAGTTGTTTTGTTACTACATCCCCTGAAGTGTCCCGGTTTGGTAACAGAGATATCTGGCAGCCCTAAGCTACTATTACAAAGCGTAAATATGTATGTATGTACATATGTAGACGGCTTCGCATAACGGCTTTTTAGCGTCTAATGAAGCCAATGCGGTGTTTGCTTCGCAATAACAATTTCACAATAAATCACTCGCTTTAATAACTTCACTTGATTTTTATATTATAACTTTTTGTTATTGTCACAAATTACTTACTTAATTTCACTAATATTCACTTTTCAATTGCTAATATTTCTGAAATTAACTCTTCCGCACAACCTTTACTCACGAAATTGTAAATGTGAATTGTTGATCCAAGCAGTGCTGCCGTCTGAGTTTATCGAAGGGTAGTACTTTTATATAAGCAATAGTAGTTTTTCATTTACATAGTAGCAAAACTTGTATCAACTACTTTTTTTTTTAAATAACTAACCCATTAATGTTATTGAAACTCATGAAGATATCTAATAAAGAAGTATCTCACGCGTTTAATAATATAATAAAAAAAGAGCGTAGCAATATGAGGAGTTCCATAACAAAACGCATATATGTATATTCTAGTTTTTTTTATAAATTGTTATAATAAATGAATGAACGTGTTTCAAATAATTTTAAAACTTTGGGTTTAGAGAAAAGTGTTAATATTTCGATGATATTTTCTCAATTACGTAAGAAACTGGTCAAGTGTAATTATTGACCATTAAGAAGACTGTTGGTTGGTACATACATATACATATATATATTTTCTTATAAACTGCCACATTGGTTGTAATTGCTTTATAATATCAAATTTTTAATACCAGTTTGGTTATCGATATTTTCAATAGTAGTATAATGTAGATAGGAGTAGATAAGTAGTATAAATATTCTGAAGGTAGTAAAATACTACTAAATACAGATATGTAATAAGCACAACCTAGTTCAAGGCGTCGCTGCGAGCAACATTTGTGTAGTGTTCGGAGTGCATATATTTTCATTTCGCAGTAAAAAACAAAAATCGTAGTAAAAAGACTATATTAGCAGTAGAGTTGTTTACTTTAATATAACTTTTTTAATTGTGTTAATTAATACTCCTGCTACAGGAGAGCATACATACGTGTTCGGGAACCTCTTTTTAAATAATTAAAACGTATTTGTTTCGAAAAACTACGAAAGTGTGCAGCAGATTGCAATAATTTCGAAGTAGAAACCTGAATTCGAAGCACTTCAATCGTAGTATGCTCTGAACACTGTACCAACGTCGTCTAGTTTATACGTACATATGTACGTACACGAAACGACAGCATGAAAGTCGGTATGACCAGTTTCGAAATATATAAAAAATTCTATTTAAGTTTTCATACATGAATGCAAGCATATTTTTAAAGCCAAAAACATGTGCAATAATGAATTGGTTATCAAACTAATTATTAGCTTACCACTTTACTTATAAATCGGCTGTACCAAATCACATTATATGTATCTAGTGGCAAATATATAAAAAATTTCCCACTTCCCATTTGCCCATTTCAGCTAAATTTAATTAAAAAAAGTAGATCTAGCTGCAAAAAGTCTGCCTGGTCACACTAGTGAGAGAAGCGGTAATAAGTTCTGCAAATCACTGAGCGCCGTGAGCGCGAAGCTCTCTTTGATGTTGGCTGATGCAATAATTTAAAAATGACAGCTCCTTTGCGGTTGAAATTACTGAACGAGTCTGTTGTTTTAACAGAAAATTTAGTTTGATCAACCAGAACTCGGTCAGCTCAACCGAATTTTGTCAATTAAAGATAAACAGATCTAATACTGTTCAATCAACAAAGGAATGCAGTTGCTTTAACAGAAAATTCAGATAAAGTAACAAAATTTTGATCAGTTTGACAAAATTTTGTCAATTTAAGGGCAACAGTATGAAATTGTTGATTTTACTGAGGCCATTTCTTTCTGTGTACGAATTAGGGACGGTTTTCTGTGATTTGGGTTTCGGAAGCGGTATAATTAAATTACATTTAAAAGATTGTGGGATCTAGCTTTGAAAAGTGGAGTCATAAAACATTACTAGGCGTTTTTTGAATGATTCAGAAGAATTTAGGATCAATGGATACGAAATTCTTTCTATGCCTGGTGTTTTCCCTTTCAATTTTCTGAGTGCCGATGTCAATTCTATGTAATTTATATCTTGTTCTATACATACAGATTCCTTGGAAGGCTTCAAGTGGATTGGGCCTTCTAATGTTGATCTCTTTGTGGTTTGAAAGCAGATAGGGAATTTCTGATCTGAAGCGTTTTCACTCCAGAATGTAGCAAGCTCATTGGCAATGTCCTTAGGGATTGTATACACCTGATTTGGATTTTTGTGCGATTGTAGGCAGTGAATTCCATAAGATAACTTGTACCCG